CAGAAGGAGAGACGAGAAAAAGGATGATAGAGGGGAAAGGGATATCAGAGGGGAGCGGCAAGAGCGGGGAAAAGCGGGAAATGCCCCGCACTGATCAGCTCTTCCGTTGTGAACTAAACCCACCCGGCGGCGGGGAAGACGGAGGGGGAGGCCCAGAGACGGGTAGGCAAGCGCTGGCTCTTCCTGCTACCAGGGTGGCGGGGGGCTCTGCCGGGAGTGAGCCCTGGGGCCGAGAGGCTGCACCCACCTGTTTGTCCCTGCGCAGCCAAGCTGGACTGCTGCCCCCCCCCCCACTTCGCACCCTTCCACCCATCTGCCCGTTAGTTCTTCCATTTATCCGTTCCTTCTCACCCCTAACCCCCTCCAGGCGCCGCTCACACCTTGTCTGACCCAGGCCCTGGGCTACCATGGTTCCGGGGCACAGGAGAGAGGAGCCAGGGGCAGCGGCTTTCTATGAAAGGTCGGTCTGCCTGAAGGGAGGCCGCGCCAGGGCAGAGCTTGCTAGAGCTCTCCTAATTCCTGGGGCTTCTGGCAAGGGCCTGCTTGTCCAGTCCGGCCCCGAGCGTGGCCTTCCATTAGCTCTGGCTTCTACTCCGTGGCCCCTTGAGCCATTTCGTTTCGCAAAGTTGCAGGGTCATCATTTGGGTGCTGAGTTGCTCTTGAACGAATTTCTCCCTCCCTTTTACGAAGTTAGAGGTGAAAGCTTGGCGAGAAGGCGGGAGAGGCAGGCCAGGGCCGCAGCATGAGCCAGAGAGCTGGGGGCAGGGCAGGGGTCTTTTCTTTGGATACCCAGTTGGTGATTGTGTCCCTAGCTGCTTTCTGAAGCGTGGACCGAGCTTTCTGCGAGCCAGCGCAGGAGCCCGGCTGGGTCGGATAGCTGTCCCGGGGGCCACGGCTTGCACCGGCTCCGAGGAGATGGATCCATTGCCAGCCCTCGCGCCGGGCGGGCTTGGGCCCCGCCGAGAGTGAGGCAGAAAGCTGACTGAGCCCGATGGTCAGCTAGCCAAGAGCCCCGAAATGCATCCGCCTTTCACTTCCTTCGTGCTTGCGGGGGTGGGGGACAGAGGAGTGCGGGGCAGCTTGGGATTGCTTCGGGTCAGGCCTTGGAAACCAGGGGCTGCCCTTTGGGCGCTTGGGGACAGAAAGGATACTCTCCAGCCGGGACACCTTGGAACTCCGACTTCGCCTCCTTTCCTTCCCTCCACCTTGTTCCTTCCCCCTTCCACCCTTCCACTCTCCTTTCCTCCCTGACTTCCTTTGGGGCCGGGTCCCCGAGCAGCCTCAGCATTCTTTGTGTTCGGCCTCCCAAGTTGCCTGGGCAATTCGGGAAAGTTGGCTTTCGCCAGGGGAAACGCTCCGACTACATATTTTGCCTTCCCTGGACAAGTGGCGGGCCCAGGAAGAGTTCGCTCGGGAGGGTACCCCGCTGGCACCTGTTGTGAGGCTGCGAGGAATAACGGCGCAGACAAACGAACGAAGGCCGCTAGTAGGGACGGACAGACGGACGGGCGGCCACCGGCAACCGGCCCGGGAAGAAGCCCTCTCCTGGTCTGTAGCCTTGTGGCGGCCCTTCAAGCCCGGGGCTGGCGGGGATGGGATGGGATGGACGGAAGAGTGCTCGGCTCTGGCCGGGGAAGGGCGGCGGCCGCTACTGCAGTACCCCGTGTCTTTTCGCTTCGGCCCGGCTGCCGGGGGTGGCGAGGAGGATTCGCAAGTCCTGGCCTGGCCGACTTTCTCTCAGGCTTTGCTTTGGCTCTCTCTGAGCGAGGCGGGGAGTGGCCCCTGCCAGGGTTCAGGCACTCTCGGCCCGCCCTCCCATCCCGGACTTTTCGTTGCCCTCCTCCCGCTGTATTTGCAGGCTGCCGTCTGTCCGACAGTCAGTCCCGCGGGTCCCGCGGAGGTCGGGCAGTCGGACCACTCAATTAGGACTCCCTCTAACAGGGCTGTTTGCATTTCCTTTAAGCAAGACCGGGGCCTGGGATTACCCCCTCTCCCACCAAAAGGAAAACCCAAGACCCCGCGTGGGGCGGTGGCGGCGGCGGCTTCCAGCCCAACCAGTCCCGGGGCTGGTGCGCCCCCACCTCCCCAGGCCCCCCTCGTCGCCCCACAGTCTCTTTGGCTTCGCGGATTGATCTCCCTCCTTGTTGAGTTAATTCAACAAAGACTTTTTGCGATCGCTTTGGAGTTTGTCTGAAGCCGGGGAAAAGGGGCTGGTGATTTATTCGGTTGCTTTTCGATTTCTGTCTTCAGCCCTTCTTTCTCCTCCTTTCAGCGGGGATGTCAGCTGTTATTACTGCCTATTGATCCCTTTGCAAAGTGAGAAGTGAGCTAAAATTAATGTCAATTCCACTGCTCCGATCAATAGCGGGAGTTATTTTAATCTGGATTTGCACGAGGCGCTAAATTAAAAAGCGTCAGCATAAGCGTCGCTGCCCCTCGCCCGCAGCCCCCTTGTTCGCAACCCCTCGCTCGAAGCCCCTAGTTCTCAGCCCCTCACTCTTCTTCCAGCCCCTGGTTCTCAGCCCCTCGTTCGAAGCCCTTAGTTCTCAACCCCTCACTCTCCTTCCTGCTTCTGAAACGACCCACCCCCACACGGCCACCCAGAGCACACCCCCCCCCACTGATTAGCTGACAATCCATATTTTTTTAATTAAGAGGGTCAGTTAGTTTTCTTATTTGGGGCTCTGTATTTAAGTCCATGACATTTTGACATTAGGAGTGTATCAACTATAGATTTTCATAATGACTGCGGGCGGCTGCCTCTGCCTACTCTGCCGCCTCCTCCTCCTCTGCACAGTTTTCTGGGTGTGGGAGGCAGGGGTGGGGGGAGGAGAGAAGATCCCCCCAAGCGGCTTCTGGAAAGGGCAGGGAAGAATTACAAACCCCAAACGGAAATGCTCCTGATTTATTCCCGGTGTAATGAAGTTTGCAAAAGAATCCGGAATTAGGGGTGAGTGATTCACAGGGTTCTTCCTTCTGCTGAGCTCGACTTGCTGCCTCGGCCGCTAGATTACTAATTTATGAAACACGTTGAACAGAAGGAGGTGGAAGAAGGAGGAAGCCAAAAGAACTCGGGAATAAGGGTCAGTCCCGGGGTCATTTTCTACAGGAAAACATTCCCTTCCACCATCCCCTCCTCAACGTGCATTTGACGTTGTCCATTTCTCCCACCCCTCTGGCCCAGGAGGGACCCACCATTATTGCTTTTGGCCAACCAAGTGTCCTGTCTGTGTCTGGTGTCGTGAAGGAAGGGCGGCTGTGAGCCGCGGGACACACTTGCCAGGCTTCCCTGGTTCGGTTTGTGAATATGCATCTGCTTTGAAAACTGCCGGCCGCAGGGTTCCTATCCTTGTTAGGCTAACCGGGCTGTCCTTGCCAGATCTTCGCTGCTTTGCTCGAACTTGACAGGAAAAGTTATTTAAAATTTGGAAGAGAGAAAAATCCGTTAATGTGAGATGCATAATCTGGTAATTTAGCAATGATGTCTATAAGGAAGAGTGCCAAATGAGGAAGCAATCTGATGATGTCCACTCATTTTCACAATTAATAATAGTCATGGAAGCGTCTGCTACAGGATGGGAGAAGGAAATGTTATCATTAAGACCAAGGATGGGATTTTATACCATTTGTTAACCGAAGCTCCTCCATTCAAGGAATACAAAAGGTTTTCCATTAGAAAGATGCTCTTTGGGCACGGTTTAGTTGCAGTGAGTGACTCTTTAGATTCAAAGGGCGTGATTTCTGGCAGCCTGGGGTGTTGGGTTTTCTTTTTAAATCATATGATGTTGTTCGGGTGCCCTTTGTGGTTTTTCTATTAATCATATCTTTTTTGAAGCTAATAGTCCTCGTATTCACCTGATGCCATGCTCATCCCTGGTGTGTAGCCCCGCCCTGCATAAACTACCAGGAAAAGAATCTGAGGTGGCAAGAGCAAGCCGAGAATTGAAGAGCATCTTTCCTAAGTCCCCATGTGCTTTAGGGGCCTCTGTTTGAACTTCAACTCTGCCTGGACCAAAACAAGTCAGAAATTTGGTTATCATTTTGCTCTAAATGCTAAGGGTAGATTTAACCAATTTACAAATCTACTTAAGTGAGTGCATTAGTAACTAAAATGAATGATCTTTTCGTGGCTCTTGTTGTCCCTGAAAGACAGACACTTCCAGAGAGCATTGCCAAAGACACCCACTCTATTTTTAAATACTATTGAAGAGGCCAGGCACGTTATGATAGAAAAGAGGGTAGGGGGAAGGCTATGTGTAGACAGAGGAATACTCAGAATATCAGTTGTGGGGAGCTTCATTTGGGAAAAAAAGTCCTCGATAATCTATAAAGTTGCGGGTTTGTGTGTATATACACATCAATATTTATACTATACACATATACTTCATGTTGTCACCTGCTTACATACATAACATGTATCCATTTAAATTCACATAGCCATGACATTGTGCATGGGGTGGGGGGGGGCAGATAGGGAAGGGTGTAGGGTGTGTGTATGTGTGTGTGTGTGTGTGTGTGTTTGTGTGGGTGTGTTGGGGGAGGGCCGTATATGAAAAACAATTATAACTGCATCTGTTGCAGCAAACCAGCCCTGCCTTGGGTGGGTGGGGTACCAAGACAGAATCACTTTAAACTCTGGTATATAAGGTGACCTCATTTACCCAGGGAATATTGTATTTGGAGATTTTGTGTTTTTTTTCCTTGCTGGGCTCAGGCGCATTTCACCCGGAACGTGTAGGGACCAAAGTCAGCTACGCGTACATCACAGTAAGTTGTCTATTGATTTTTCTGAATGAAAACGGTCGGATGCTGCTGCTGCCCAGTGACTCCTGAAGCCTGTGGTGTCTGTTCCCCAAGCGCCTGGAAGCCAGGAGGATGGAGTTGCAATCACTCGGGCTTTCCCTTTTTTCTTTTCCCTGACCTTCCTCCCTCCCCCTTTTTTCTCTTTGATGTCCCTGCAGGTCTTGGAAGGGGATGATTCCCCAGTAATCTTCCCTGCCTCGACCCCAGGTGCTGCTCTGCCTCTCTCCCTCCCTCCCTTCCAGGGAAGACCGTTTCTTGTCTGACTCCTGCCATCGAAAGAGACTCCAATGGACTTACACCGGGCAGCCTTCAAGATGGAGAACTCATCCTACCTTCCCAACCCATTGGCATCCCCAGCCCTGATGGTCCTGGCATCGACAGCAGAGGCCAGCCGGGATGCCTCCATCCCTTGCCAACAGCCCCGACCCTTTGGGGTTCCTGTCTCCGTAGATAAGGATGTGCATATCCCCTTCACCAATGGCTCCTATACTTTTGCCTCCATGTACCACAGGCAAAGTGGGGTGCCTGGCACCTTTGCCAACCGTGACTTTCCCCCTTCCTTGCTGCACCTCCACCCCCAGTTTGCACCCCCAAACCTAGACTGTAGCCCCATCAGCATGCTAAACCACAGTGGCGTGGGGGCTTTCCGCCCCTTTGCCTCCACTGAGGACCGGGAGAGCTACCAGTCGGCCTTCACACCTGCCAAACGACTCAAGAACTGCCATGACACAGAGTCGCCCCACCTGCGTTTTTCTGATGCAGATGGCAAAGAGTATGACTTTGGGGCCCAGCTGCCTTCAGGATCCCCCAGCTCCCTCAAGGTGGATGACACTGGCAAGAAGATCTTTGCTGTTTCTGGCCTCATTTCTGACCGGGAGACTTCATCCAGCCCAGAGGACAGAAATGATAGATGTAAGTAGCAGTCCTGTGCATCCCTGTCCCCTTTCCCTTGGGTCAGCTTGGCCAAATGATGGTGCTCAACAGGTCAGTAGTGCCTCTGGCATCCCTACTGAAGAGACTTGCTATCTACTTGCCTGCCTGGATAGCTGTGGCGTGTCGGGGCTCCTTGTTACCTCTCTTCAGTGGGCAATGATAGATTGTGGATTGAAATGTATTCGTGCAGGCAGGCAGGCGGGCAGGGAGGTGGGCAGGTTCCCAAGCCACCTGCTGTGTTGTCCTTGTGTGGGCAGTATTCCTGGGGGGTTCTGGGCTCAGAAATGCTGGGGGCAGGGGGATAGAGGCTATGCTTGGCCAGGCTGTGGAAGGAGCTCGTGGGGTCCCAAGACCCTTTGCTGGCTTCCCCTTGGTTCTCTGGTCTGAATCATTTCTGGATCTCTTCCTATCAGGCCACACCTAGCAGTCAGTCTTTAGTCCACTTCCCAGCCTTACCTTTCAGCTGGGCATTGAATTGGGTAGACAGCAATGAAGGGCAAAGGTTGGTCAACACGGAAGTCTTGTAATAGTCGTATTCTCCTCAGTATCTTGAGGCTAGACAGCTAGCATATTTGTGGGAATGTCACGACAAACACAACAGCTCCTGAGGGTCTCAGGTGTGTTCTTGTGACCTTTAGTGCCCTCTGTGGGCACTGACTGCTCCTTTCTAGGGGCTGATAAACAGAATAGAGCCTTTGCAAGGGAGGGGCTGAATCCTCTGGTCCCTCGACTGCCCCGCCCCATCCCCACCCCCACCACCCAGCAGAACAGGACTCTCAGTTTAGAGCTTTGGGGTAGTATGGAGACAGAGTGGCTTTCTGCCAGCCTGGGGAGAATTTATGAAGCGAAGGGTTTTCTTTCCACCCATCCCTTTGTTCTTGGATTTTGCTTTGTTTTATTTTCTTAAGAAAACTACAGCTAAGGTTTTCTTTCCCCTCTTCTCTACTCTATTCCCTAACACCACCCCCCCCATCTCCTTACAGCCCCCAACATGAACACCATTTTTTTCTCTTCACTTTATGATGCCGGGGAGAGTAATAGAGACGTTGCAACTCTCTCCCCTGTCGGCCCCGCTTCCTCTGGCTGTCTCCTTGAATTAGGCACTGTGTTAACTTCCCAGCGCTAAAAGGCATCTGCCTAAACCCAGCGTACCTTTTCAATAAAAGTCATCATAAAATCAACCTGCCTTGTAAATCCATCGCTCTTTGGTTTTGAAATATGTTGTGAGTGTGTCTTTTATGTCAGCGTCTGCAAGCCTAGGACCTTCCCACTTAGGAAGAAGGCTGCTATTGCCGACAGCACAACTGTTAGCTGGGGCTTTCACTCACTTTTTCTCTAGCTCTTCTTTCCCCCTCTCACTTTCAGTGACTCACATCTGGCTGAGCTGCTGGCTCCTCTTTCACTCTGATCTGGCTCTCTGGGTAAGCCTGCCTTATGTGATATACGGGGACTTTCCTGTTGTCCTGTTGGGTTTTCACCCCCAGTAGTGCAGGAGAAGGCAGAGAGCTGGGGCTTACTTCCCCCTTGCTTAAAGCTGTCTTAGGTCAATGTGTGTTAAGGCTGCTGTCTCCTTTCCACTAGCAGTGCCACTTAGAAATGAAACTGATTCAACTTGCTATGGGATTGAGATTCTTCTCTTCATCCAGATCCCTAGCAGTTCTAGTCTGTCTCCCCCTTTTCTTTCTTTTCATCTCCAACCTCCATCAAGCAGACACCCAGAGAAGGCGAAAGCCTGTTAGTCAAGTCAGAACTCATAGATGTGGAGATCCATTCCCCCTGCGGGTGTCATAGCCATAACTCTTCTCTTGCCTGGTTTGCATTGTGTGTGCTGGTGCCTTCCCTCACGGAGATGGATACCTACCTCACACAGGAATACGCCTGGGTGGAGAAAAAATGAAATGAGGCTGTCTCCCAAAGTGAAATGGAATTCTGACCTTGAAATTAATGAGATGCTGATCAGCAGGGAGGGGAAACCTCTTCATTTCAAATTTAAGTATTAGAGAAACTGCAAGAGCCCTTTCCCCTTAGCTTAATTTATGTTGAACAGTCTTGCCTTTTCCAGAGGACTTTTCTCCTTTTTTCTCCCCCCCCATACTAAGTCTATAGGAATGTGTGAGTGTAGCTTATATGCACACCCAGATGGTTATATTAACACAGAGGGAAAAAAAACAAAAACAAAAGCAAAATTTAAGTTGGGCTTAGGGCTTGACCCAGATTTCTCTTGAGAAATGTCTGAGCAGAGAAGACCCTAGCACAGGAGTCTATAACTCCCTTGAAGGGGGCAGGAAGAGGGGGATTCTACCTTCTTTTGACCTTGTTTTAGGGAGCAGATCAGTGTGCTTCACTGTGGCCTCATGGGGTGGGGGGATGACTGGTGCTTTTTTTTTTTCCAGAGGAATCTTCATAAAACAGGAGAAAACCTTTTTCTTCTGAGCAGGGTTGGAGAGACAGCATGACAAGGTCTGCGGTGGCTTCTTGGCTCCTGTCATACTCTGATGGGGGCAAGAGGATTTATGGGCTGTTTTATGTAAATACATATTTAAGAGCCGTTAGAAAGCCTGATTATTCCCACTAGACGCCTTTCAGGCCCTCCCTACAGAACCTTTTTGAAATAAGTACTATTTCTGAGATAATCAAGGAACAGGGTACAAGAATGCCTCCCGGACCCAGCTGGAGCTGGGTAGGTAAAGGTGGGGCCAGAATATGCTTAGAGTGCAAAGAGGTAGGCTGCCTAGGCTTGGGCTTGGCTGACTGCTGGTCACACAAGTATTTGGATTTTTCATTCTATGGCGACTGGTTCTTCAGATAATTTTTCAAACTTGTAACCCCTTTGTGTTCTTTTCCAGAAAATGTAAAAAATTATTTTTTATAATTCAAAAACAAGGACTACAACAAAATTTCTGCAGAACTCTGGAGCTAGAGTTTCTGTGGACCAGGTTCCAGCTCAGTTTAAGGGTTTTAGGAGATTGGAAAATGGGTTTTATAATGGAAACCCTGGCATGACCTCCCATCCTGTGTCCAGCTGTGGAAGTAGATGTGAGAGATGTGAGCATGACCAGTACATGCCTGTATATGTGTCTAGGTGAGGCGGAAATGTACATTTTCTTACATTTAAAATTGGTTTTTATTAAGATCTTCTGTTTTTTACATTGCCTTCACTTCCAATTGTATATCTCCCCTCCCTTCCTAGCAAGCTATCTCTTCTAACAACAACTAACAAAGGGGGGAGGGAAGGCAGTTTAGCAAACCAGACCAGCATCTGACAGCATATGCAATGTTCCGCAGCCATAGTCATCACCACCCCCCCCCCCCTGCAAAGAAGGGAGGGAAGTGCCTTTTCTCATTTCTTATTCAGGGCCAAGCTTAGTCACTAGGATAATGATACTCATTTTCTTTTTCTTGTTCTCCCCATTTACTGTCTGTAGTCACCATGGCAGCATTGTAACTGTTGTTTTCTTGGTTCTGCTAACTCCACTCTGCATCAGTTCATGTCTACCCATGCTTCTCCTAATTCTTCCTCATTACTGCTTTTCCTGGTACCTTAAGATTTCCTCATGTTCATGCACCACAATTTGTTCAGCCATTCATCAGTTGATGGGAATCTGCTTTGCTTCCACTTCTTTGCTACTATGACAACCACCCAAAAAAGCATATTTTAGGTCATGAGGTGTTCCCCTTACTCTTGGTTGAAAGCTGGACTTCTTCAGGGGATATATGAACACTCCAAAGTGGAGACTATTCCCATCTGCTTGCTCTCAGCCCTGGGATTTCTGGACCTCCCTTTGTCAACAAATTCATTATTTCTGCTTTGCTAAGGTTTTATGGTGATGAAAAGTTATTTCCCTCTTCAGAGGCTGCCCTATCTGTCCTGGAGAGGGTGTGGGTGGGTCCTGGAAGGGGCATTAGCTCTGGCTGGCAGAGGAGCTAAGGATGTAGAAGGCAAGATCATTTTTGTTTGCCTCCGCTTCTCAAGCTATTGTCTTTGACCTGTCTGAGGAAATGTATGGTATGGGGACAAATGGCCACCATGTGTTATGAGGAACTGTGGGGCTGTTTCTCAAAGTCTGCCCTTTAAATCAGTGCATCTTTATTGAAGGATTCTGCCTGGTGTTCCATGCCATCACCCCTATAGTTATTACCCACTCTGGATTATTTTGATAGTCATTGGGTTTCTTTCATGCTTGAGAGTTCCCCCCAGGTTGCCTCCTGTGGGCACCTTCTTCAATACCCACATTTCTGCTCTGACTGCCTTCTTGACCCCAGGGCCTTTCTGCCCACTGATTCATTCTGCCACAGTTGTGGTTGCCCAGTATATACCCTCTCTTGTCTTCAAATGTGAGTTCTAGTTCTCTCAACTGGAGCCTGTCAAGGATGTCAGGGCTGGGGATCAGATTTGGTGTGTGTGGAGAGCATCACATTTATTAAACATTTATTAAATACCTACTATGTGCCAGGTCCTAGCTAAATCCATACAATGAAAGGTAAAAGACAGTTTCTGCTCTCAAGGAGCTCACAGTCTAATGGGAGAAACAATTGAGTTGATTATGCTAACCTGTCTTACCTTCACTTTCTTATTGCAACCCTAAGTAGGCAACACAATATTGTTTTCACTCCAAAGAAATCTTTGGGTTGGCCAGTTCACTTCACTCCCTTTTGCCTTAGCCCTTTTTGGGCAGTTGTTATTGAAATATCTCCTCAGGCAACCAAAGGAATGAACAGTCTGGGAAGGTCAGGGTGTGCTCCCTTTGAGCTCAACAGGCTACTCCTGGTGGCCCTTCTTTGTGCTTCTCTCAGAAGCAGCATTTAGGAAAATGATTGTGTTCCTGGGGCCCCAGTCCCACCCTGAAGATGGTGGACTATGACCACTGCCTAGGTGGAGCTTGGATGGGAGTGGGGAGGTGGGTGTGGCCAGACTACGTCCTCTTCAGATCCTGAGTGAGCCAACCTGGGGTTGGTTATGCCCTGGACTTTGGGAAGAATGAGGGTCTCTGACAGCCCTACTTTTCAAACAGATAAGACCGGCCCTCATCTTGTTACAATCCAAGTCAGAGTGAAGGCCCACCAGCCAAACTTGCATTCTTAGGCCCAGAGGGAGGGAAAAGGCTAAAGTCTGAAAGAGCAGCACCTCACCCCTACCCAATTGTCTTCCTCCATGGAGGGGGGGGGACACACAGGACCCCCAAGTACCCTATTCTTCCTCTGGGAGGGGAGACTGTCCCCAATCCTTCTCCTCCTTAAGTAGGGTGATCAGGCCATAATCTTCCTCAGAGTGGGAAGGGGAGACAGCCCTCAATCCTCCTCAATCCTCTTCCCGGTGGGAGGAGGGCTGACTCCCAATCCTCATCGTTCCAGTGGGGATGAAAGGGCCCCCCAATCCTCCTCTTACTTCAGAGGTGAGGGCTGGGAGTGGGGGGGGCAGAGAAAGAACTTCCTTGGTGGGTGGGTGGATTTTTGCTGTTCACTCCCACCCCAGGCCCTGAGACTCCCTTTCATGCTGTTTGGTTTCATTGTCTTGTTGGGATAAAGAAATGTTTGAACAGTTAAAGTGGGGCCGGACTGGTTGGGAGCGGTCCCTGATGGCTGCTGCAGAGCCATCTGGCCTGGCTTGGCTCCGGGCTGCCTCACCCGCCCGCCTGGGTCGGGGGCTCGCTAGCTCGCTCACTGGGCTGCGGGCAGGCCTGCGGTGCACGGCCGGAATGCCTAATCACCATGGTGAGAAAACGGCCTCGGCGACCGCTTTCTCCCCTTCCCTCCCAGCCCGCCTGCCAGCCAGCCTGCTGGCCGTCAATTGTCATGCAGAAGCGATCGGGTGGCCGTTTCCAGGAGCGGCTGAGCCTCGGCTGCCCCGCCCGGTTGCCCTCGCCTCTCCTCCCTTCTCCTGGACTTGCTTCCCCTCGCCTCCCCTCGCTTCTCCTAGCTATCCCTTGCCTCTCCTTTCTCTCCTCGCCTTGCCTCGCCTCCACTCGCCTCTCCTTCCTTCTCCTCGCCTTGTTTTCCCTCGCCTCCTCTCTCTTCTTTTCCCCTCCCAGAAGGGTGCCCTGTAATTGATAGTTGGGGGAGGGGCTGGGAGGACAGATGAGGGGCGAGAGGCGGGGTTGGAGGGAGGGACGCTTTTCTCAGTCGAAATATTTGCCCCTCAGTCT